CTTAGTCTCCAGAGATACACTGTTGCTCTTCAGTACTTTAGAGAGGTCCCTAACAGCAGACATTCCCATCACAATACATCTTTTAATTTCCTGGCTGCTGGTGCCAAGAGTGTTGATTGTGGAGCCAAGCAGACTAAAGCTGTGAACACGGACCACACTGTGTGTATAATACATGGACCACACTGTGTGTATAATATAGACCACACTGTGTGTATAATATAGACCACACTGTGTATATAATACATGGACCACATTGTGTGTATAATGTAGACCACACTGTGTGCATAATACATATAGACCACACTGTGTGTATAATATAGACCACACTGTGTGTATAATACACAGACCACACTGTGTGTATAAATACACAGACCACACTGTGTGTATAATACATGGACTACGCTGTGTGTATAATACATGGACCACATTGTGTGTATAATATACCGACCACACTGTGTGTATAATACACTGACCACATTATGTGTATAATATACCGACCACACTGTGTGTATAATACACCGACCACACTGTGTGTATAATACATACAGACCACACTGTGTGTATAATGTAGACCACACTGTGTGTATAATACACAGATCACGCTGTGTGTATAATGTAGACCACACTGTGGGTATAATACACGGACCACATTGTGTGTATAATACAGACCACACCATGTGTATAATACACAGATCACACTACGTGTATAATATTATAGACCACACTGTGTGTATAATACACTGACCACACTGTGTGTATAATACACAGACCACACTGTGTGTACAATACACGGACCACGCTGTGGGTACAATACACGGACCATGCTGTGTATATAATACACGGACCACACTGTGTGTATAATGTAGACCAAACTGTGGGTATAATACACGGACCACACTGTGTGTACAACACACGGACCACACCACACTGTGTGTATAATACATGGACCACATTATGTGTATAATGTAGACCACACTGTGTGTATAACACACGGACCACATTGTGTGTATAAT